GAGCTTTCCAATCCAGGTGTTTTAGTGCTATGTTACTTGCATGTCTAAACATAGGCACCTGAGTTTCAATGTGAGAAACCTGTACTCTGTATTGTGAGTAAAGCAGAAATTTGTTTTCAGTGTCTGCTGGGAGGTGATTTTCCTCCTAGCCAGTTGTAACTTCCCCAGTATGTGTAGGCTATTGTTAAGCAGACAATAGATAATAGCCTACCTACTAGCTCACCTATCCAAGCAGCACTCACCTAGCTGCAAAGGTTTAACACTGTTGCCAAAGATTTTCCTGAAGAAGAAGATAGACATGCCTGCCCATAACCTGGAATCTCCTCTCCTCCCTTGGGTCACATCCTGCCCCTAGGATCCTTCTTGATGCCAGTGTCTGAGTCAGGTAAAAGCACAGAGCTTAAAAATGATGCAGTCAGCTATTTCCTGCTGTGTTTATTAGTTGAGTGTTTAGTTTGGACCCAGCTCATCACTCTACAGCAGGAAACTCCCGTTGACTTCACTGGGAACACTGAGCAAGGATTTCTGAGCAGGGCTTCTTGATGGAGGATGGCAGGACAGGACTGAACACAGAATTACTTGGCCCCTACCAGAGCAGAGACAGATAAACAGCCATTCCTGATTTTTAATAGTAGGCTTCAAGGGACTTCACAAATGTGAGATTATTATCCCTGTGTTGCAAAAACTGGTTACCAAAACAAAAGGGTGAAGCTACACATGGTATTGTTTTAGCAAATCTGGGTGGCAAATAAGTGTCATCAAGTGATGCAAACTAGGTGAATGTAGAGCTATAGTTACCTACAAAGGATGCCACATTTCTGGGAAGAGTTTTAATGAATAACTACTAGTATGCCACTTCCACCATTTTACTTTCTTAGGTGGAGGTCCCCACCACCACTCATGATCTGCTGTTTTAGAACATTCACTCTTCTAAGATTGCTCCTGTTTTTTCTCACAGTATGATGAGAAGAGCAGCACCCAGCCCATGTGTTACCAACACACCTGCTCCTGGTTATTCTTCTTCTGCACCCCTGCAGCAGCAAAGCCAGACCCAGTTTATATTGACTCCATGTCCAGGAAAGCCTAGTCAGGCTCATGTGAGTCTCAAATGGGGCAGGAGGAGGGTGTAACACTTGTCAAAATTTATTATTGAGGTCTGCATTCTCTTGTCTCATTAGGGCTGTAGTCAGTGCCATTTTTGACAACAGCAGTTGCACAGCACTGAGCTGTGTGACTGTACCACCAGTGCGAGTCTCAAGCTTCAGTCAGCCTTCCACATGGGAATACATGCAAGTGTGTTAAAAAAAAAAAATCCTGTCAGAAATATCTTAAAAGACCATCCTGTAGCTGGCAGTTTTGTGCCAAACATGCTTCAACCACCTGAAGATCCACACAATGACAAGAGAAGCTTCTTCCTGGGAGTGAGTTGACTGGGCTGGGAATTATCCAGGCCTGTCATGACAGGTGGCAACGCTGAATGGACAGTGGGAGGGAAGGTACCATTCTTGTATAAAATGACTAGAGAGATTTAAAAATAATTTTCTGATAGGAAACAGTCTTTCAAAACCTCTCCTGGAAGGCACTTGCTGATGTACTGCTTGAGTACTGCATCTGAAGCAGATCACTTGCTGACATATTGTGTAGGCTGTGAAATTCTGTAACTTCCCTTATTATGTACAATCCAGGGATGCACAATCACTATGTATTCTACCTCAGCCTTGCTTTTCCATCCTGTTGCCTTGGATGAATTCTGGGGGAATACCCTTTTCTCAGGAAGTTTTAAATGGGACAATGTTTACAGCAGAGATGCCACTCCTGAGCTATGGGTCAGTACAGACAGCCAGAGAACACAGCTCTGTTGGGTTTGTTTGGCTTTCTGCTCCCACCCAGAATGAACAACACCATTTACTGCAGACCTCCTGCACCACTGATGCATTTCAAAGAGATGTGTTTAAATCTTCAGGGGTTTTGTCCTGCTAGCAACATAAATTTCTGCCTTTCCAAACACTTCAGAAGCAGTTAGGAGTTCCACTTCACCTGCTTTCATAATTTGGCTATAAGAAGATTGTGGGCTGTCTTCTCTCTTATATTTCTACTGGGAAATACCAGATGGGCTTTAGTCTGGCAATAGATGTTGATATCTTGGAACAAGACCCTTGAAGTGAATAAATGAACAGGGAAGAGATGCTATTCAACATGAAACCCACAAGCAAAAAAATGTAAGTAAACAAAAATAAACCAAACACCCCAAATTCTGAGGATAAAAAATGTTTGGCTCAATAAGGAGATGGAAAAAAAAGGGAAGTAATGAATGATGGGCAGTTTACTCAGTTACATATCTGTTGTCCACAGCCTATCCCCTGGCCCTGGGCATTTCTTAACAGGGCCCTCAAGATCTTGCTTAGGCAACCCTGGCATTGGCTTCTGTGGGGACAACACCTAATCCCAAGCACACAGTGTATTTTGGTTTGTGCTACAGCTTAATCTGACAAGTGTTGGACAAATTATTGCATGCCCTCTTTCATTGCCTTGTCATCACACTTGTGTGTGACACTACATGTGTGCAAGCAGCAGAGAGACAGCATGCTGAAAAGGAGAGGAAAGGTGGGAGAGAGGGAGGGAGGAGGGAGGTCCAGCCTGTGAGCACAGAGGCCTGAAGTGGCATGAAGGAAAAGGTGCTGAAAGCAGGGTGGGAGAGGACTAGCAAGCTGGGGACCAGCCTTTACAGGAGGTAAGAGGTGACAGCCCACAGACTTTCATGCAAAGAGGAGGGAAATGACTGTGTGGCATGTTTTGCCACACCCATTGCTTCAGGAGTCAGTATTGAAGGGAAAAGGAGCTCACCTAATGGAGAGAGCTACACTGATGCCATGACCAAAGGCTGACAGGCATGCCACTCTGAACATGCGTTTATGTCAGAGGCAGCAGAAGGATCACAGATTTGGCCAGCACTTGGGATTTGGGGGCTGTAGGCAAAGCCTAAAAACAGTTAGAGGTCTTAATCTGGCTCCTTTGTTCTGCAGGTAGGAATAAAGATGAAAACTCTTCCAAGCCCTGAAGTTACCTAGTGACTCTTTCCAGCAGTTGACATGTCAATTTGATGTGCTGCACATAAAACCTACACAAAGGTGGGCCCTGCCCAGAGAACTGAAATGCCAGTATGATGGGCAAGATAAAAAGCTGATATAACGCAGAGGAGGAAGGCACAAGGTACGAATAACATGAATATGACAAGATCATGACAGTAGTTTCAGCACAGTAAGGCTAGGTCTTTTGACAGACAACCAGTGGCTCAGTTGAACTTTGGGAAGCATTTTGGAGGACAATAAGGGTGCCAGGGGGTCCTCTTGCAAAGCTTAATAAAAGCGCTCCTTTGAAATCCTGACAGCAGCAACATGAAAACTATTCCTGGCTGCGGTGAGAGGCTCTTGAGATTTTGCTGTGCTCGAGACTTGGGAAGGAATAGACTTGCAAACTGAGTATTAATACTCTCTGCTCCTGGCTCAAAATGACTTACAGGATAATTTATTTAACCTCTGATTTGCCCTTTGGAAACGTGAGTTTCATACAACTTGTTTCCTTGTAAAACTCTGAGATACTGGTGAATTTGACCTTCCACAGTACAGTGACAGCACTGAATGAAGCCCAGAGAAGGAATTGGATGAAGTCAGCTGGCAAGCGGCACAGGATTTGAATGAGATTAGAACCAAATGGGTGATAGTTTAAGAAGGCCAAATCGGTCAAGGGATGTTGATATGAGTGAGCTCAGAAGCAACAGGTAAAACATTTTAATTTGCGCAGATCATGGAGTGTGGCTGTAGCAGCTCTCATGCTGCTGCCTGGAAGAGTGGCTGCTGCCTGCTCTCTCCTCTCACTCACCTCTCTTCTGCCTCCACTTTTGCCCTTGCTTCTCTACAGTAGATTTCTTCCTTGTATAATTTGTCTTTCTGGTGTATTCTCATGCTTCACTGCCCATGGCCCAAGTGCCATGGTGCCCTGCTCCCTGGGGCAAGGTGAGAGTTGCTGCTGAGGCTACTCACATTTCACACACCACCAAGGTGTCCAACAGCTACAGACCATTCAGAAATTCAAGAATCTTTTCAGAACTGAGACTCAGTTTTGCTGTGGGTTTGAGGGTTCCAATAGAAGATAGAAGTGAAGTTCCTAAATCTGCCCTCTCACAAGCGTGACAAGCACCTTGCTGCCAGCACCTGCAGCTCAGCAGCCACCTACCACCTTGATTCACAACCCAGCTGCCAGACTTGCACTGCCAGCAAGGACCCCTCCAATTCTTTTCGCACCTTGCTCAGTTTTCCTGAGCTCTCCCTTGAGCCTCACAGGCAGCTGGTGATCCAGAACACAGAGGATGCAAAATATTAAATCGCTGGAAAAAAGCTACAGAGGCTAGGAATGAACCTTACACTTGCTCCACATTTCAGTACCACTAAGACACAAAGTGACTCAGGATTACAGGGAGTGAGGAGAGAGGTGTTTGGACATGGCAGGGTCAGTGCTACTCACTGTGTATGTTTCTTACAGATGTGCAGCCACTGGAAGAAACAAAAGTATAAGGAATTATAAGACTTGCTGGGATAATCTGGATGTGGCTAGGGAATGCTTCACTAGTGGAAAGGAAGGGTGAGGATCTCCCAGAGCTGGGGAGAGGGGATGGTGCCGGGAGGCCTAAACTACCGGCCGGGACAGGGATTGGGCTCGTTTCCTCTCTAGGGACGGTGCTCCCGTGCTGGGACAGGGAAGCGTGAGGCGGGGAGCAGCGTGTTGCAGGGCGTGCGGACCTCCCGGCCGGGAGACAGCGGCCGCCACCCGCTGCGGGACCGACAGCGGCGGCAGCCCGTCCGCGCCTCGCCCGCGGCACCGGACCGCGGCGGGGGTGTGCCGGGGGCGGAGCGGGCCGGGCCGGGCCGGGCCGCGGCGGGGGCGGAGCGGCGCGGAGCGCGGACAGCCGGCCGCGGGAGGCAGCGCGGCCGCGGGGAGCTATGTCCGTGCCCGTGTCTGTGTCCGTGTCCGTGCCCGTGCCCGTGCCCGGCGGCGGGCGGTGAGCGGCCATGCCGCGCAGGGCGGAGAGGTGCCTGCAGATCGCCCCGCACTCCCTGGCCATCGTCCTGGACGCCGCGGCCGGGGGGCGGCCGGGGGGCGACGGTGCCGGCGGTGCCGGGGCCGGAGCCCCTGCGGGGCCGGCGGCGGAGCTGGGCCGCCACCGCATCGGCTACGAGATCTTCGCGGACTTCAAGCGGGAGAACATGCAGCACTTCTGGGACCGGCGAGCCACGGCGGCGGTGGCCGAGACCTTCTTCCTGGGCTGGATCGACGAGCAGGTGCTCCTGGTGCAGGGCAAGGAGGAGCACCTGGAGGTGCTGCGGCAGGGCTGGGCGCGCCGCTCCCTCAAGCCCCCCAGCGGCTTCCACATCAAGTGCCTGGGTAGGTGCCGCCGGGCCGGGCCGGGGCCCGCGGAGCTGCCCCGGGCACCCGCCGCAGGTACCCGGCGGGGTCCGGGAGCGGGGCGGAAAGCAGGGCCCTCCCCGCCGCGGGGTTTTAGCTCCCAAAAGTGGGTGTGCGCGAAGGGGGTGAGCCGGGATGGGAGCGGTGGCATTACGGGGATGCGGTAAGTGGTGCTCTCCGGGAGAGCTGCCGGCCACGGCTGTGCGGTCGGTTGAGAGGCGCGTTCCCCCGTTCCCATTAGCGGGCGAGGGTGAAAACATAAACTGGAAGAGTTGGAATATACCCCCTGCAGGATGAAATGCCCGCCGGCCTCCTACGGGCCGGCTCCGCCCGCAGCGTGCTCCCGGGGCTGCTTGGCTCGGGAGTTAAAAGTTTTGTTTAGTATTTCCAGGTGTGCTGAAACAATATTTTACTTTATATTCGGCTCTACGTGCTATATCAAACTTGTATGCCAGCGTTGCTGTGGAGGTGTCTTTCCCAGCGAGAAGCAGTAGTAGGAGATAAGTAACGTGATTTTTTTGAGGTGCAAGGCAAGTGGCTTTTGAGGCTATAAACGGCTAGTCTGTTATGCCGTGGTGGGCCGAAGTTTCAAGTTACAGCGTGATTCCCTAAGGGAATCCCATGAGTGTGCAGTGGCCTAGGACAAAGCACACCTCATCCTGAATTTTTTCTGGGAAGCGAAAATATCCTTGCATAGAGAGCGAAAATGTTTCCGCACTTCTTTTGACATGAAAAAGTAAAAACAACATGGCCAAAAAAAACCAACCCAACCCCTCCACCACCACCCCCAAACCCTAAGATATAAAGCTGTGGCTATTTGGTGGGTAGAGAGTTGTGAAGAACAGCAGAGCAGAAGTTTTTCTTAAGATTTAAGGCAACTAAATATTCATCACAGCTTGAAACATGCAGCTTCTCTCGTAGAGAGAAGGAAAATTGTGTGAATTTGGTTTATTGCTGGCTTAACTACTTCCCGTGGCTGCTGCAGTGATGGTGAGGCAAACTGTCTTTTCCTTGTGTACAATTTATAAAATCTATGTCCTATGCAGCAGGCACCATGAACAGGTCACAAAGCTAGAGACGCTCTCTCTGTGCTGGCAGTTTCAGACTCTTAAAACACGATGCATTTCTTTAAAAAAAAAAATTAGCTGAGTAAGGCTCCTGAAAAGAATGGAACATAAATATTCGAGGTTTCCCAGTTTCCTGTGTTTAATCTGGCTTTCGAATATTTTTAGCTGCCTTTGTCCTTTTGAACAAGCAATGCTAACTCATATAATTTCTAGTTACTGGCAGTCTTGTCTCTTGCAGAGTTGTCAGACACTTGTCTGTCACTCACTATTTCCCCATCAGACTTACTTGAGTATTACCATTTTTTTCTGAGCTGAGAGGGGAGGTCAAGACAAGTTGCCCTGTTAAAAATTAACTGATGGACCTTTTTTCCTCAAAAAAGCAAATTTTCCTTTGAACCTCAGATGACAAGACAGTGCTGCAGAGCAGGTGATAGAAAAGTTTTGGGTGGTCCACCGCTATCTGGAGAAGAGAAGAAGTCGGGCTGTGGTTAGAGCTACCTGCTCAGCCAAACTCATCTGGGCTTTTTGGCTGCAGTTGGATGGAAGATGAAGAGCTTTTGAATTGGCATTGTCACCTGATGGAGTATCAGGGTCAGTGTTTGATTTTTGGGGTGTTGCTGGACCTTGCTCATTGAGTGCCATTCCTCGGCCTGCTGCCCAGGAGGGCTGTGGAAAGGTGCATTCTGACCTTGACTTTACTAAAGCCACCCAAGGAATGTAAACAGGTCTTTGTGGTCTACCTTAAAATATGGAAACAAAACTTTTGCTAGAACTTCATGTTAATAAGTAAACTCACTGGTGTGCAAATAATATACATTCCTTTGGGGGGTTATCTTTGCTGCAAATTTACAAAAGACTGGAGCCAGAGTTTCATTTGGCTTTAAAAATAGCAAATGCCTCTCAGCATTTGATTAAAGGCTATGAAAGAAGAGCAAGGACCTGTTGGAGTCTTGCCTGTTGTCTAGTGCCTTAGCTGTGCTAAATATGATAGAAGGAACTGATTGACTTTTATTTTTTTTCCGCTGTTTTTTTTTCCACTCCCAGACTGATAATTCAGGTCTTGTATCTAAGTAGATTCAACTTGCACTTACTGTAAAGTTAAAGAATTGTCAAAATAATGGGCTTGGCCTGTGGGCATGAGCATCTGCTTAAATGCATGTAATTGTATTTTCAGCATAATTAGGTAGCTAATGTGTGAGTGACTGTGACTTATTGAAGAACTCACTCACACTTTATTATCTACTTTGTTTCATTAAAGCAGCAAACAACACACAGACAAAAAGAAAAAGCTCCAATGCTTTTTAGCTCTAAAAAATGTGGTTGGTATCTTAGGCTGATAGGAAAACCTGCCTGCTGGGAGTTGCAGAATAGTAATATTTTACTCCTGTTAATAAATAACTGGTAGGGTCAAGGGGGGAAAAGTAGCACAGCGATTTTGATGAAGGTGACGTTGTTTTCTCTTGCTCTGGTCCAGCTGGTAGTCCCCATGCTGTGGTGGGAATAGGGGTTGCCATGCCTGGACAGTGGTGGGGGGGTGCATGGGGGGACTGACCAGGGGGTCTTCCTCTGCACCTCAGGGCCATTAGAATACCTGGACAATGCTGTGATAAGTTGTTGGGCTGGTTCTTGTCTGATTTCTCAGCTGTCTGTCTCTTTGTAGGCAGGTGGGGGTGCCTCACCTGCCCCTGGCATCCAGCTGGGATGGAGTAGCTGGACGACCAGCTGCCTGCCCCAGGGTGGGTGTGGGGGCAGCTCCCAACCTCCTGATACTGTCTCGCATGGGGCAAGGGACAGAAATGTCTCCTCAGCTGCACAACCTCCATGTAGAGGTAGTTGGACAATATTTCCCCTATATTATGTTCAGTGCTAACATGACCCAGAAATCACAACTGCAACCTGACTTTCAAAACTCTGCTGATGTTGCTGGTGGTTTTTTTTCACTGTGGTCCAGAGCCTTGGCTCTGGTAGGTTGTGGTGGCTGTGGAGATAATAATATCTGGAGGAAAATATAGCTGGTGAGGAGGAGGGAATATTAGATCTCTAATATGCATAGCATGTGTTCTGCTGCTGGAATTGTATAATGTAAACCAGGAGAGACTCACTGCTGAATAGTCTTCCCACCTTTAAGTCATCCTGGCTTGATAATGAAAAGTTTATGAAAGTATAATTTGTAGTTAGCAGGGATTGGACAGTCCTATTGTGCTCAGTGCAGGTGTACCTGAGCCACAAAGTGAATAGATTAAAATCCACATGAGATTCTGAAGATTTGAATTATAAAATTAGACCTTAGAATTAAATACAGGAGGAATATGAAGCGCATGAGAAATTTGCTTATAGCATTGACATCTTAGGGCTGGAGGGTATGGCGGGTGAAGTGATTCATGTGTGACTTTTAAACTTACTCCTCTGGCAGTTTTCTTGAACTAAATGGTTACGCCATAAAAGCCTGCTCAGTTACCAGTTTTGCAGTGATCAAAGTGATTCGGATATTAGGAAATTGTTGGGTGTATCGAGGTTTTAAGTTGGCAGATGGGAAACTTTGGGAAACATAAGTAGTCTTTGAATAAACAGAATCCCCAAACCAGCACTTGCTTAATATGTTGATTTTGGGGGTCAAGGAAGCCTTATGCAAATCTATAGGTCCAGTGATGCAATTCATTGTCTTCGGAAGTTCTCGTGTAACTTTGCAAGACTTTTGCAACTTAAGTCTTTAATGAGCGTTAGTATTTTAATTAGAGTTCTTTTTTTGACACACCTTCTATTTGCACTCACAAATATTTGTCTTCCTGAGAGCCTTTTTTTTTTTTTTTTTAAAAACTTTTCAGCTCTTCTGTGTTAGGTGCTGTTGGTGTAGCAGGATGGTCCACCTAATTTTCATGTCTTCATCGCCTTTTGTGTTCCCAGATGAGACTTCCTTCTGTATCTCTTGCTCTTGATTTCTGTGTCACGGACAATGGGCATCTTTGAGAGGTTTTCATACACTTCACAGAAGGGCCATGCCCTTTTGTAAAGATTGCTTGAAAAGAAATGACCAAACTTTATAATAACCCTTTGGCCATGCCCAGGGCAATTTTTCCAATTAGAAGCTGAAGTTCAGATGGCGTTTTTAAGAAATGTATGTGCAATAATTAAACTAACTAGCAGGAGTTATAATTCAGCAAAGTCGGCAGGGCTGGGCTGTTGTGCATTGTTCCTGCTTGGCCAAGCATAGGGGGGAAACTTTTTTTGCCACGCTGGGAGTTGGAGCTAAGTGCTCCCTTTCTTTTCTCTCCCTGCCATATCCTCTCATGCCACCAAAAAATTAAATTAACACCCCACTAGTTTAGGTTTGGTAATTTTCACAATCAGTTTTGCAGTCATTAGTGGATGATTATGGTGAAGTGTAGACTGTTGGACATTAAATATTATTCATCTATAGACACTTAAAAATAATGAATTTCTTTTTTCTCTGCCAGTTATCTCCTTTATATAATGAACATTTCTTCTCAGTATCGGGGCATTAGGTTTCATGGTAGTAAAACCTCCAATGACTTTACCACACATTCAACTACACCTTTTGTATGCCTTGTGGTATTGCCATGAGAAATTTAGTGGATTTAAACAACAATTTTTTTTCTCCTTCTCTACAACTCCAACATAGAGCCAGTTAGAGATCCACTAAGCACTTTTTATATCTGTGAGGTGGCTATTGCAGCTTGAAAATAAAGGGTAAACTTAAGCTTATGGCCAGACTGAAGTACTTATGAATTTACTCACAACTCTGAGTAAAGAACTTCATTGCTCACAAGTGTTGGGTTGGGCCTTTAATGTAATTTGTAAAAGCAGCTTTCAGAGGCTGGGGAGACAGAGACAAGAGCTAAATGAGTATGGACTGCATATAAAGTGCCTGATTTCTCAGTATGTGGTTTGTGCTTGTGTTGTGGGAATGAAGTCTTAGAGTCAGAATTGCTTTCTGCTCTTTAAAGAGAACTGTGAATGGCCTGCAAGGCTAGTGCTAGTCATCAAAAATGTATTGAGAAAGTAAAAAGAACACAAGGGAAAGAAAGATATGGGCTATTTAGTTTCATTTTTTTCACACAAAGCAGCTTCTCTTGAACAAGCAAAGTCAAATACACAGATCTGTGGTATTCATTGTGCAGCTCAAGGGAAGGATTTATAAGGTTAATAGCCAGCTAGTACTGTCTCCCCACCTCCTTCCTCCCCACAAAGAGCACCATTGTATAGGAAAGCATCTTTTCTGGTGGCAGATAAGTCATCCAGCCTTGCAAGTTAAGTGCATGCTCTGTGTGAAAAGCAATGCTGTAAGGGAACTGTGGTGGCCAAGAGCAGCCCTTGGCCATGGAGCTTTGACAAAGCAAGAGATCTCTCACTCTCTCCATCTGTTTGTGCATGAGGGTCTGGTCTTTAATTAAATGTTCCTCATTCCTTCCTCAAAGGGCCCTTGTCTTTGCCAGGGAGCAGCACAGTGGGTGTGCACTGAATGAAGCCCTTGTCAGGTGTTATTGCCAGCACTTAAGTGGGCTCCTGGGCTGCCAGCATCATGTGCCACCAGACCAGTCACTAAATCACCTTTCCATCTGTCCCACTCTTTTACATAGTCATTTTTGGATTTAAGAAGACTGAGGTGAATGAGGTGTCCAGGGGCCATGCAGTGGATAACCATGGAGCAAGTCACAGGCATCTCCATCCTGCCCACTAATTTTTACCGTTTTGTGGCATGAAAACTCAGTTGTGTTTCCCCTTTTGTCCATCTTTGTAATTTACTAATAAGAGTCATGTTGTTAAATGCTTTACTTATCAAACTGTAATGATTTTAATTGACAAAGTACAGACCTTCTATGTGTGTTGCCACAGTTTAAAATTTTGCTTTAAATGAGTTTTGATTCATAGAATGGCTTGGGCTGGAAGGGACCTTAACAATAATCTCTTTCCAACCCCTGTGCTGTGGCCAGGGAACCTTCCAGTAGGCCAGGCTGTTCAGAGCTCCATACAATCTGCTTTTAAGTGCTTCCAGGGATGGGACACCCATAGCTTCTTTTGACAGCCTGTTGCAGCAGCTCACCACCCTCACAGTAAAGAATTTTGTCCGAGTATCTATGCTAAACCTTCTCTCTTTCAGTTTAAGGCCATTTCCCTTGTCCTATCACTGCATGCCCTTGTGAAAAGTCTAGCTCTCTTCCCGGCCTCCTTTAGGTACTGAAAGGTACTAGAAAGCCTCCCCAGAGTCTTCTCAGTCTGTCTCTGTGAGGCAGGTGCTCCAGCCCCTGAGCCTGGAGAAATGTGCATTTAATGCACAGAGAAAGGTGCTAGGAAGGGTCAACTGTGTCTGAAAATACTGCTGTCCCTGGGCTCGGCTGGTTTTTATTTCAGCTCTTTTGTAAAGGCGATGATAGCAAAGTTGGCGCTCTCTCACAGCAATTCTGGTGCTGTTTCCTCAGGCCATGCTTTTGGATGGTAAATCTCTCCTCCTTTCTGCAGGCCAGGAGAATCACAGCTTGCCCCCAACAGGATGTGCCAAGGCATTACCATATTCTTGTCTGCATTTTAGACACTCTTTTGGAGAGTGTAGCAGAAAAGGTGCAACCCAGATGGACTGGGTGTCCTCCAGAACTCCTGGCATTAAAAGCTGCCTCCCAAGCAGCATCACTCCTTCCTTTGGCTATGGCAAACATGATAGGCAGGCTTCTCTTTTCTTTTAGTAGTCAAGGAAAGCCTAAAGTGTTCAGAGAAAATAAAAACTGCAACCAGATGGTGGTTTCCTCTGCAGAAACTGAGGCTGTGAAATGTTAGGATGGAAGGAACTTCTTAATAGTTTTTTTGCAATAACAGAAATTTAACAGAGTTCTGAAAAATTAAGCTGTCTCCAAACTTTTTCTTCTTTGTTTTAAATACAAAAACATAAATATTTTGATTATTTTCTAATGATGTTGACTTCTGGGAATGTTATTGCAGTCTCTGGTTTCTGATATTGAAACTGCTCCCTGGGTGGGCCAGATCTGGAGAGATTTTTAAGGCTATTACATGCTTGGAATAAAATCCCTTCACCTAATATGTAAACATGCTTTCTTCTGTCTGCTGTACTTGATCCCTCTATTTATGACTTGGGATTTCACCTGAGACTCGTGATGAGAAGTATCTGAATGTAAAGAATGTACAAACACATATATTTTGATGAAACAAAGTGTTTTCATGTTGATATTTGAGCAGGCCTTCACACCTCCTTTTTAAACTGGGGTCCTGTTCTGAGCTGCAGTAGCATTTGAGTATACATTCAAAGGTAAATGACTACCCTGAATCTGAATAGGGGTTCTTTTAGTTGCATTTTTCCTCCTGTAACCGAAAAGCAATGGTGTGATATTACTATCAACACTTGCTAAGCTATATTTGATTTTCTTATGAAAGCAAGGTAGTGTTCTGTGCACTCAATTAATGCACAGAGTAATGACTTCTCTTTGTGTCTTTTCTGGAGTTGGATAGAATTCTAATCCATGTAATATGGGACTTTGTTGTTGTTCTTGCACATGAGGACAGGATGGGGTACCAAAATAGAGAAGTTGGAGTAAAACACAGCAGCCTTTTAGATTAACCTTGAATTCCACCATCCGATAATTAATAAAGAGACATGCAGATGTATTCAAAGATTGCTCTTTTAGAAGTGCAGACCAATTCACTTAACCCCTGGGAAACAACTCCAAATTTGATTCTTTATGGTATATTGTGACTGTGTAAAATGCTTCTACCCAAGTGCTTGGTTTGGGTATATTCCAGAAGCTTTAGTTTTAAAGCAGTTTTTGGTGACTCTTAGTGCTTCAGAGGGTACCTATGCTGGCTCATGCATGTCTTTGGAGGAGGATGAGAATGCTGAAGGACCCGTTGCTGGCCCCAGTATGGGGAATCCCACTGAAAGCAGAATGGGCTCTTGGATGATGGCCCAATGGCTTTCACAATCATGTGGCCAAAACCACAGTGGCCTCCAGGACTGGGCTGGCCATGAGGCAGGCTGATTCCTCCTTCTGGTGCCAGCAAAAGGGGAATAAAGGGGAATAAAGGTATGTGCTGGGGCTGGTCTGTGGCTGAGCAAGTGTCTCTTGTTCCCCTCCATTGGTAGCAGGGCAGATGCATTGCTGTGTCCATCCTCATCAGTAACTGCAGCTCCAGTAACTCCTGCTTTTCTGCTGCCTTGCAGTTGCATGTGCTGCAATGTCTTCTCTCACTGGGTGTTCAGGGGCTCCTGGGAAGGAGTGAAACTGCAAGGATTGTGTTTTCGCTGCAGCTGTAAAACTTGCAATGTATTATTAGCATTAGAACAAGCTGGGTGCTGCCAGTGTATTTGAGATTTGGCAGCAGAGTCTTAGGTATTATTGAGAGGCTGTAAAATGAGTACTTCTTTTTTAAAAATGGATTTATTCTTTTTCTTTAAAAAGCCCTATTGCAAGTTTAGCAAAACTTTTAGCTAAAGAAGAAAAATTAATATTAACTTTTTCAGATTGTAGTTGTATTTTCTGCTCATAATATCCATGGATATCTTTCTATATGTAAAGAATATAGAAGAAATAGATTTCTGGATGCAGCAGCCTTTCTCCAGGTCACTGGGAAAAAGGCTTAATTGTCTAATAAATATATCATGTCTACTTACCTTGTGTTAACAGTATCCTTGGGTGCATGAGGTTACAGAATCCTGCTACTGTGCCAGTAGCAGGGCATACAGTTTATTATTTATGTCCCTTTACAAAGAGATAAATTTGACATAAATAAGGTTTATCACTGCCTGTTAATTTCTTGTGTTTGAGTTCTAAAGAAGTAACTGAAGTCCTGTAAGCTCCGTGTGATGTTGCAGTGAAATTCTGTATGTTTGGTATACTTTGTTTTTTTGTATTTTCGGGGTAGGAGTTGGGTTTTTTGGGAGGGTGTTTTTTTTGTTTGTTTGTTTTTGTTTTTTTTAATTGCTTTTCTTTCAGGGGAGTTTTACTCAAGGGATTCATATTGTGATTTTTGGGTGCCAGTAGTCCTTAGCTTGCCATTGAGCCTTCCAGCCACTCTTCAGCATGTGTAGAACTGGACCATGCCCTTGACTCCCAGTCCAGCAGACTGACATTAAATGTTTGCTCTCCTGCTTGTGCATATTGCAGGGCAATATGGGCTATGGCTATCTGGGCTATGTGCAAACAAGTTTCCTTTTCACTGACAGATGAAATAACAATACCTGGCATTAAGAGAAAGCCGAGTGTTTTCTTTGGGTTTCTGTGAAGGGCCTCCTTTGGCAACACGTACACATTGCTAAATCTGAGGGTGCTGTTGAGATGCTCTGGCTGGTGAAGTCAGGAGTAGGTCAGCACCCATGTGAAGATTTCCATCCACTTGGTGTGCCTGCTGCTCCTGGTAAGGCTTTCCAAGTAGTCCCTGTCTAGTGGGGTGGTCCAGGCTGATGCGGGCAATCTTATGAGCTCAAGGGGAAATATCCACAGCACTGGGAAGGAGAGTAGAAGGAGGTTCTGGTAGACTGCCCCTTACTCAGTGTTTATATGGCTCAGAGGAGGAGAAGGTTATAGATAGTTGGATGAACCTGAACAGATATTTACAGGTGCCTGGTATCACCTGAGTGGCCCTGGTCCAGCTGTGGGAAGGCAGCAACTCCCCAGGGCTATAAGGATGTCCTAGTTAGTCACAGGTTCACAAGGTGGTTTAACCAGTTGAAAACCAGGATTTTAAGACTGTTTTAAAGCAGATGCAGTATTCAACATACTAGACAATATTAGCAGAAGGGGTTATTGAAAATAAATTAATGGGAGAAGGAATTTTCTCCCTGGTTTAATAATAATAAAAATAATTTGAAGGGGCACATTTACAACTGTCCCTGAGGTGTGGAGGGAAAAAGCTTTGAGGACTCTACACTTCACTGCCATAATTGCTGGTTTATCACAATTATCCTATTGGATTAAAAAAAAATCTTACTGGTGTTCCTGACTGAAAATTCCTGGGTAGCTTGAGGTAAAAATTACAGTCTTGTGAGAAGCTGCAGAGAGAAAAAGTCACAAAGGACTAAACAGTGGATAAAAACAGGTGCTCCAGCCCCTGAGCCTGGAGAAATAACTCCAAATCTCTGCAATCTTAGATGTTATAGAAAAAATGTTTGTTTTTCAAACAGTTATCTTCAGACCAGATGTCAGCCTTGTAGGGAATCCTCCTTTATGAAAATGAACACCTGAAAAGAGTGGGAAGCCAAAAGAGAAGGGAGGCCAGCCAGCCTTTCACTAAATGACATAATCTTGGACATAATGCTTCCAGTGGTAGGGAAGCAAGGTTGATAGGTGTCAGGTCTGTTCTGCTTTTATGAAAAATGAAAACTTTAATTGTGCTTGATGCATTCTCTTTGGGGGTCTAGCTACATGGTATCTCCATCTTTCAGGAGATTGGGATGTGTCTGTAACATGAGGATGGAAGAAGATGGGGCTCATAGGGCCATGAAGCTTTGTAGTGTTTGTCAAAGAAATTTTGTGTGCATAAGTATTCCCTGCTGGAAACTTAGGGCAATTTTCAGCTGGGCTTGCTTCATGTAGACATGTGTGTGAGGGTGTATGTAGTGTTTTAAGTGCTGTATGAACAGAGGTTTTCCATTACTTTGAGTAGTTTTGATTCAACAAGGTACAGATCCCCACATGTGCTTATAGTAAGTTAAGTCTGAGTCTAGTGGAGGAGTCACAGTTTTTGAATGTAGGCATGTCATATATTCTTGCATTTGCCTGACTGTTGTTAAGAGATTTGCCAGAGGAATCTCTTCCTGGTTAATCCCAGAGCGGGTCACCTGTGTCTAAACCAGGAGCCCTTTGAGAATTTAGCTTGGGAATCCAAGACTGGTATTCTTTGCATTTGTATTTTCCATATACATATACATATTGTATATGTATACAGTACTCTCAGAACGAAATAGCAGAAGAGCTTACTCAGCTTTTATAGGTGACTTCAGGAAAATATGAAGAGGAAGTATTAATTTATACTTCAATAAAAGTATGAAGAGGAATTCTTAATATTCTGTCAGTAGAGACAAAGTCATAAAAAGTAGGCAACTTAACCTACAATCATTCTGATTTCTTTCCTTGTGTAGGAATTAGTGACTATTGTCTTGTCATTTTTTATTTATGGCAGTAGCTTGTAGCCTTTAGCTTATAGATTTCTTATTAATTCAAGGTCTTTGGTTTCGTTTCCAAGGTATTTTTTTATTGTTAGTTTTTCTTTACTAGAGGTGTACAGATAGAGCTCCTCAGTGAAGCTGATGCCAAATAGCTGTTGGAAGGTCTGTAGGGACTTGCTTCTTGGCTGTCTTTCAAGTGCAGTATAGCTGTAAAATGTTTTAGTGTCAGAATCATTACATCTATCATTGCTCTGCTTCTCTCTGTCAATAACTAGTCTCATTCAATGACATATTTGTTCTTAAAGGAGGAAAGCAGATTCTTCTGTGTGCCAGCACATGAGTCTTTTCAATTTTTCTGCTTGGATAATCATTGGGCTTCAGGTTTCAGTGGTTACTTAAATTAATCCCAGTGATATCTTTCCAGTCTCTTCAATGTTTGTGTTGAGAGAAAGGCCGAAACATATCCAGTCTATTGGGAACTACTATATACCAGTCATCTGGTGAGATGGAAGAAAAGTGAGTGCAGTCTTCAGTGTTGATTTTTGTGATGAGTGACTGGTGTAAAAATGAAATAATTTTGACAGAACTTTTCCCACTTCTTAGGACAATATTTAACAACTGGGATGTTTTGTTTCAATTTTTCCTTTCTTTTTGTGCTGGGAGCACTTCTGCTTGTTGGCTTGCACACCCATTTGGGTCGTTTATGCTGCCTCCTGTCCTGGTGACTAACAATCCACTAGTGTCATGATCCTCACCTTTCTTTAGTTTGCAGATTGCTGAGTTTCCAGTGAAAATACAGCAAATGTAAGCAGTGCTTTTCGCTTTTATCTGTTTGTGGATCAAATCACTTGGAGACCTGCAGACCCCAAGCTGTGAAAACTGACTTCACCAACCCCACCATTTTACACCTGAATGGACAGGTATCTACACAGCTGAAGTTTGTGCTCCCCTATGAGTGTGCTGCAGACTTACCAAACTATCCCTTCAAATAATTCACAATTTATCATCTGTGACAGCTACCCTGAACCTCTGCACCATTTCCTCATCATCTTTTCTTCAAGGACACCTGTGGTTGTAACTTTTGGAGCAGCAGGGATGACTGGGAGTTTGACTGCAGGCTGGAGAGCTTGGTCCAAGCACTGTTCCTTGCCTTGTGTTTGAGAGCACAAGTCTTGGGGCAGAGAACTTGGTGACTGTCACATTGATGTGCGAGGCACTGCAGTGCTGAGCTGGGGATAAAGCCCTTAGGTGCTCTCACAAAATCTTATATAATAATACACACATATGACGTTAGTAGTGAATGAGAGGTAATCTGTAAATAGGCAGCCAGGCAAAGAATTCTTGCTTAAAACCTGCCTGGATTTGCTTTACCTGTTTTCTCACCACTTGGGCAATAGTAATTACTTTTTGTGGCAGTCCTCAGCCTGCTCCATTAATGAGTAGCATGCATAAGTCTTGAAGGCTTTAGTAGAACTGTGGTGAGTTTGCAATTGCAGATTCTTAGCTATGTGTTTGGCTTGAATCTGGAGCCATAAATATGTAATAGTTCATAAATGGCTATCCTTGCTTTATTTGCTCTGGTTGGTAAATAAGAAAATTAGTGCAGGGCCCAATGGGTCAATAGGTGTAAGAGGACACATGTCATACTGTCCCAGTCTGTGGTCTTGTACTCTTGGTATATGACCAATATACCATATAATATGGTGATTACACAGAAGGGAACTGGAACCTCTCATGGTTTATATGATGTTTCTTTTAACAAACTGCAAGATAGTAATTCTTGTGTGACATTATCTGTATCTTTTAGTACTGTATATGGCTTCTTGCAGGCTTGTTCTTTCTAATTGTGGTAAGAAAATACAAAATTTGCCCCTCAAGGCATCTCTGCATCTTCTACTGAAGCATGTTTGTCAGTGCAGTCCTTTTAAGGTTTGTTGGTAGGGTCTCCTCTCTGTGGCAATGTCCAGAAGTACATCTGAGGAAGTGACCTACTTTTGTCCTGGAAAAGCAGAGGGGAAAGAGAAGTGGTATCTTGAGGGGTATATTTCCTTTTGCTTCCTGAAACCACAGGTCTCAGTGCTTCTGCAGGATGACTAAGGTTTCTTTCAGCCTTGGGCTCCTTGATTTTTCCTGCATGTGTTTCAGCTGAACATAAATATATCTGAGCTAGTTTTGAAGTAGCCAGCTCAGGTGTAGTTTGCATTCTTCTTCAGCTCCAACAATAATTACAGTTTTCAGCAGTGTCTAACTCCCCTTGCTGCTCAGGGAGCCTGTGATGAGCTGCTGCAGTAAGAGACTTGAGTTCCTAGATTAAAGCCAGCTTGGGCTTATC